ACGTGAGAATTCATTGTAAGATATCTTCAAGTATATATGTACCCAAGAATGTTTTAGAAATCCTTTGTAACTTGTTTTTGTTGGTGGCCTTGCGAACGGAAAGGAAAAATAATTTAAAAATTCAGTTGCGGAGAAAAAAATGAACTCCGGTAGTAAAACAGCGGGGGTCGCGGAAAACCGGCGCAGTTTTTAAGGCCCATCCTTTTGGTCTCCCTCGCAGCGGCGGCTCCATGCAGTTCCAGGAGTGGCTGCGGTCCCTGCGCTCCGGGGCAGGAGTGTGGCTGCCCGACGTGGAGGAGCTGCGCCGGCTTCTGCCCTCCCTCTCCCCCTCCTCCCTCCTGGGGCTGGGCGCCCTGGCCTCCCTCACCGCCTACTGGCTGGCCACCCGGCCGCGGCCCATCCGGCCCCCCTGCGACCTGCACGCACAGTCCGTACCTGTCCAGGTGAGGGGGCAGGGGGGCTGATTCTGAACAGCGGTTCTGGAGCAGCGGCACTGTGGCTAAGGGTCTGCGCCTGTGACTGGAAGGTGCCCGGTTTGTATCCCGTAGCCGGCAGAGGAATCCTACTCTGTTGTCGCCCCTGAGCAAGGCCCCGAACCCCAACTGCTTCAGGGGTGGCGTATAAATGGCTGACCCCAGCTTCTCTCTCCCCTGTCTGTGTGTCTCATGGAGAGCAAGCTGGGGTACACAAAAAGAAATTCCTAATGCAAGAAATTGTAAATAGCCAATAAAATGATCTGATCTGATCTCGTACAATGTAAGGGAGAGCAAGGTGTATTTATGTGGTCCTGTGAGCAAAAATAAATAATTCAACACAGTGTAATAGGTGGAACAATAGGGATTATTATCACAATAGTGAATTTCCAGTCAATTTAGGGGTGGCCAGTCTGGTCTTGCAGTGATCTCTCCTGTACAAGGCCCCCATACCCTGCATTCACAGTGCTGGCGGACCTTGGCAGGTTATCGGAAGGATCCAATACACTCCCGAGCCCGAGGAAACATCTGCCTGGACTGCATTCTCCAGGAGTACTGCTGTAGTGATGCCCTGCTGAGCATCTGCACCTCTCTCGTGGGCAGCGGTCCAAAACCGTTCTAGGGGTGCAGATGAGGTAACCTAGCTCAATGTGGCAGGTCAAGCGCCAACTGACAGATCTCAGACATCCGTGCCTGGAGGTTTTAGAAGGAATACTGCTGCGCTTCGGCCTTTGTGGCGGAAGTTTCAGGGCTTCGGGTGTGTGTTCCTGAGGTCTGTGCGGGTTGTTTCAGGGGGACCCTAGCTGTCGGCGCTCGGCACTGCTGCAGGACGAGATGCTGCTGGAGTTCTATTATGAGGACACGAGGACGGCCTACGAGATGTTCCAGAGAGGGCTTCGAGTCTCAGGTTAGTGACGGACCGTGCGGAGCTGCACTTTGTAACAGCCTGCAGTCTTGTGCTTCACTGCCTGGTAGTTCATGAAGTGCTTTGTGCAGCTCTGCGCTGGCAGTATTTATTCCTGCCAGAATATTTTCATCCCAGCTCCAGGCAGAGAAGATCTGATGTTCAAATTTGCTGATGGATGAGTAGGAATTACTGAGTAAACAATGTGCGTGTTTTCAACAAAAGGAGGATTTCTTTCTTGTGTCACTGTTCCGTCATAAGTGACATCAGCTAAAAAATTCAAGGTGATGGCTGTTACCTATTATCATCAGTTTTACTCCTGATTTAGGGGCCAAATCTGCTCTGGACTGGAGCTGGATGGAATATAGGGTGAAGAATGATTCAGCGAAGTTATTCTGCACTATGCTGCGTTCTCTGCTGTAGCAGTTATTCTTCTGTGATGTACTGAGCCGGACCATAAGGCACTGTGCCACGCTGTGCTGTACTGTGACAAGTCATGCTGTACTGTTTTCTGTTGTGCTGTACCCTCTGTACCAAGCCCTGCTCTTGTGTCAATCTGTGCTGTCCTGTGCCAAGCCCTCTCGTGCTGAATTGTGCTCTGTTATGGTGCTATCCTGTGCCGAGCCGTGCGATAGTGCTCTCTCTTGTGCTGTTCTGTGCCGAGCCGTGCGATAGTGCTCTCTCTTGTGCTGTTCTGTGCTGAGCCGAGCTGTGTCTGACTGTGTGTGTCCAGGGGACGGACCGTGTCTGGGGTTCAGGAAGCCCAGTGAGCCGTACAAGTGGATCTCCTACAGAGAGGTGAGTGTGGGGCTGTGCTGCCTGTCTGTTAAAGTGGCTGCTCTCTCTCTTCCCAACGCTGAGATGTGTGAGAGCTGTGATCGCACGTGGCTGGGGCACAGTGACAGTGTTTCCTCTCTCTGTGTGTCAGGTGTGTGAGCAGGCACAGGCCCTGGGCTCAGGGCTGTTGGCGCGAGGCTGTCAGCCCAACCCTCAGCAGTTCATCGGCATCTTTGCTCAGAACAGGCCAGAGGTAACCTTTCTATCTGGAACTGGAATTAAAAAAAAAATATATTGTACAATTGGATAGTTCTGCCTGGGAAAAGAAACTCTTTAGTTGTGACAAATCTTGTCAAAAAGATAAACTCGTTGTAATGAGTATATGTGCTAAAATGTTAGGGAACATAAAGCAACAAGGAGGTTGAGACTGTGCCTATGTCTCCCCCTAGTGGCAACAGGGGGTATTCGTTTTGACATTTTATGAAGAGAGTTAAGGGAGATGGGGGGGGCTGGGGAAGCAACTGTAGAACAGGCAGCAACAGTGACACTGGGTTAATAATAATAATAATAATAATAATAATAATAATTGCTTACACTTATATAGCACTTTTCTGGACACTCCACTCAAAGCACTTTACAGGTAATGGGGACTCCCCTCCACCACCACCAGTGTGCAGCCCCACCTGGATGATGCGACGGCAGCCATAGTGCGCCAGAATGCTCACCCCACATCAGCTATCAGTGGGGAGGATAGCAGAGTGATGTAGCCAATTCATAGATGGGGATTATTAGGAAGCCATGATTGGTAAAGGCCAACGAAGGACGGTGCCTGTTTTACAGTTTAGTGTCCCCATCACTATACTGGGGCATTAAGACCCACATGGACCGCAGGGTGAGCGCCCCCTGCTGGCCCCACTAACACCTCTTCCAGCAGCAACCTTAGTTTTTCCCAGGAGGTCTCCCATCCAGGTACTGACCAGGCTCACACCTGCTGAGCTTCAGTGGGCTGCCAGTTGTGAGTTGCAGGGTTTGGCACCCATGGTAGGTCATACTGTGCCAGGGTTTAGAGACAAAGGAAGGGGGAAAGAGAAGTGCAGAGAGCTGAAAGACCATGTGTTGTTCTGAGTTAGTGTGTGATGATAAACTCTGTGTCTCCCCCTACTGTCCACAGTGGGTGATTGCGGAGCTGGCTTGTTACTCTTTCTCCATGGCTGTTGTCCCACTGTATGACACCCTGGGGCAGGAGGCCATGGTACACATCCTCAACATTGGTGAGAACGCCACTCTGATGCAGAACATGACACACCTGTCAGTAAACACAGCGTCAGAAAACAAGGGTCTGGGAGTTCCTGTTGTGACCGAAGTCCATTGAACGTGATCTAATCGATTGTTCAGTTGGGATTTACTCTAAATTGCAGAAGATCATTGTTAATATTGTTGCTGGATTCAGATGCACTCTTTTGCAAATGGGGAGCTGCTAGGAAATGAAACAGCTGTTTGCTGTCAGTCTGCAACCTATTTAATGAATTGCTGCTTTTAATTATTTTTAGTAATTGACCAATCAATGATGTTAAAGTCAGCAGTGGGAATGGTGTTGAATTTGGCCACTTTGCTTAAAACAAAGAAAATGTCATATAATACAGTTATTAGCATAGCACAATTAATGAGCTTTACTGGCAAGAGGAAAAAAAAGCTCAATACATTACTGAGTGGTATAGTGGTGAATAGAATATTAAAAACCATATAGATTTACTGTACAATATACAATATGCAGTTTCTCACACTGACTCCTCTGTCTGGCCACACCTTCAGCTGAGATCACCATGGTGATCTGTGACAAGCCAGAGAAGGCGGAGTCTCTGTTATCCCATAAGGAGCAGACCCTGGCACCTTTGCTGGGCAGCATTGTGCTGATGACGCCCTGCAGCGCCGCCCTGCTGGAGAGAGCTAAGAAGTGTGGCATAGAGATACTGCAGTTCAGCGAGCTGATGGTGAGTCAGAGAGAGTGTGTCCTCGTGATTCTTTGTCCTGTCACTCTTGTTGTATTAATCAGTCTTTCTTCAACAGCCACACAAACCCATTAAACATTGATCTTCAGGCACAGTTACTTCTTCTGTTAGGTCTAACTACAGTACATCTACAGTAATCTATCAGACAAAGCTGGGTGGTGACTCCAGCTCCTTTCGGCTGTGTTTGGTTGTAATCTCTTCTAGATCTTCTTCTTATGGGAAGCGGTACAGCTAGTGTATGACCTTTGCCAGCGCGATCATCTGTCACTGCTTTGTTACAGGAGCTGGGGCGACAGAATCTCAGGGAGCCTGTGGTGAGTCTCTCCCTCTGGGTCTTCATCCCTCCAGCATGAAGACGGATGTGGTGGAGGAGGAATCAGAGAGACATGTGGTTGCCAGCTGGTTTTCCAGACAGAAAAAGAGGAGAGCGATGGAATGAGAAGTGGAGGCAGAGAGAGAGAGAGTTTGGTGATGGGTTTTTAGAATGACAGGATGGTTGGTTTGCTCAGATGGGAGGGAACACAGTGACAAGAAATGGCGAGATTCTGACTTCTGTTCAAGTCGCTGCTCGTTTCCCCAGCTGTGTGAAGGAGATCTGGAGTCTGTAGTCTCCTGCTGTTAGGAACACAAGGTTACAGACATGACCAGCTCATTTCCCTCCTGGTACCTCAGCCAGCTGTTCTTAAAGGGTCACTGTGAATCAAGTGCAATAGCGCAGCTGAGTAGGTAGCTTGTCACAGGCATCTACCACCCTTTGTGTAGAGCAGCTTCTCTTGTTTTTCCTAAATTGAGCTCAGCCAGTTTGATCTCTGTGGAAATAGCACAGTTTTCCCCGGAAGTCAACTCTTACTTTAATTACGGGATCTCTGAAGGGCTTGACTAGTACCCTCAGGTGTCTTTCTGTCACTGAGCCCCATCGTTAGCAAATAGGCAGAGATTCTCCAAGCAGCATTGCAGGAGTCGATGAGCTGGACAGCTCTGGATACTTGGTTGACTTTATCAGGGCAACATCTGTGTCTCGTCAGGCTCCTGAGAGCCTGCACTTCTATCTGCTGAGCTGTGCCTTCCCTCCGACATGTATGGCTGTGCAAGAATAAGAAACAGATGGGCTGACAAGCAGAGCTGTGCCAGATAACAGATGTTTCTGAATGGCTTCCTTTCAGTCCTTTTCTTGAGTGACATGTTTAATTTCAACATGGTTTCCACACCTAAAAAGGCATAATTATTGCTGTGACTAAAAGCTTTAAACAGGTGCGTTTCATCTCCTTCCAGCTGCATGAAAAGCTTTGAAATCCTGACACCTAGACGGATCATAATAGCTGTCAAACGGAGCTGGGGGAGTGGGGGGCTCTTAGCTGTGAAAACATTCTTGTAATGGCAGTAGCAGGATGGAGCAATATACATTTGTGAAGATGGATGTGGTACTGTGGACTTTCTAGCATGATAAGAACTGCTAGATAAAGCACTGATCTGTTAGTTCCTTCAGAATGTTTTTGATTAGCAAAGAACAGAAATTGTGTGCTCAAATGAAAAGTGCAGTTCTGATCTGCAGCATTGAGTGACTGGGTTGTTATTGTGTGTACCATTCTCTCTCTGTCTGCGTGTCACTGTCCTTCTGTGTATCATGTGTGTGTCACTACATAGTGTAACGCTTACGGCCGACAGGCACTGTGTAAGAGCCGGCGTACCAGAGCAGGTGATGTCACCACCCTTCCCTGTGATAGCAAGACTACAGCTACTGGGCTGTAAAGAGATCTCTCTTTAGCTCACGGGGCTGGGTCGCTGCAGAGAGACGCGGGAGTCCCGGGTTCGAGCCCCCGACGGTGGGGGGCCGACCTAATGCGGCAAGGGCGCCCGCCTGAGCCCCCGTTGCGTTACAATATCTACGTCTCTCCAGGTGCCAGTGTGTCACTTCCTCAATGTGCCTGTGTGTATGCCCATCTGTCTCTATCATTGTGTGTCTGTGTGTGTATGTGTGTCTGTGTACCTGGCAGTGTGCGTCATTGTGTGTGCCCATCTGTCTCTCTTGCAGCCACCCAAGCCGGAGGACCTGGCAGTGGTGTGCTTCACCAGCGGTACCACAGGTATGGCCCAGGGTGGGACTCGCAGGCAGGCCAGCCATGCCTGTACTTGTGTGGGTGTGTGTGTTTGGAGAGGGGATGGAGGAGGGTGTGTGGGGTGTGAGACTACGTAGATGAAGTAAATGGGTAAACAGATTCTGTTGGGGATGAGTACATGTCTTCCCTGGCACAGGATCCTATACCGAACTCTGTCTGTCTCTTAGGGAAGCCCAAGGGAGCCATGATCACTCATGGTAATATTGCTTCCAACACCTCCTCTGTCATCAAGATCCTGGAAGTAAGTCTCTCTGGCTCCTCTCAGTCTACACCATTCTTCAGGCATCTCAGATGCCCAGGCAGCTTGTGAAGGGCTCACTCCCCAGTGTATCTCTCTCCCCTCCAGGGATCATTTGTCATCCGCCAGGAGGACATCTCCATATCCTACCTGCCGCTGGCTCACATGTTTGAGCGCATGATCCAGGTAAGGACCCTGGCTGCATCTACCCACGGTGCACTGCAGTTGTGTGATGTGCACAATTCTGCTGTTGGACCAATGGTCACACTGCGTGTCCCCACGAGCAACTCTTCCATCCCATTATCCCTCCTTTTGACTGTCGTTCAAGAGTATGAAGACAATAAGACTCAACATAAGAAGAAGACTGCTGATCCCTCAGGGGCTGAATGGCTTGATCTCCTCTCCTTCCCCTCTCTCTGTCTCAGGTGTCGATGTTCTGCCATGGTGCGAGAGTGGGCTTCTATCAGGGAGACCTTTCCCTGCTAATGGATGACATCAAGACCCTGCGGCCCACCTTCTTTCCTGTGGTGCCCAGACTTCTCAACCGCATCTATGACAAGGTGAGCCTGTGAACGCTGCCTGACTGATGGGTACACTGACTGGCACACTCACTGGTAGGGTCCTGAGATGATTGCACATTGGAAATGTGAGACTGTAACTGACTGATTGTTCACTAACCAGCTGGGACCCGGGCTGGCTGACTGGCACACCGATGGACTGATTGGCAGAGCTGTTGACGGACCGTGTTGTGTATGTGTGTGCCAGATCCTGGCCTCGGTGAGCTCCCCTCTGAAGCGAGCACTGCTGCACTACGCCGTGAGGAGGAAGCAGGCCGAGCTGAGCAGCGGGGTGGTGCGGAACAACAGCGTCTGGGACAGGCTGATCTTCAACAAGATCCAGGTCGGTCTGCAGCCTTCTTAAGAAGTCAAAACACACTTACTGCTCACCGATATGCCAAAACAAAAGCACAACGAACGTGAAATGCGAAGAACACAGAGCAGCAAAGATTTGATTCACAGGCTTTTGTGAAGACCTCCTCATGGAGCAGAGTCCACAGTGGCTGCTTAGAGTCCGATGGGCCCAATGGGCCACCTGAAGCAGCTGATTGGCTGATCGCCTGTGCTGAGGGAACGAATCACTGGGCTGCAGACTCATACCAAGGAGACAAAGCTCAGAGGAGGTCGTGTCATCATTAAAGCAGACAGCTGGAGCATTCATCACACTTTAGTCCGCAGGATAGCACCATGGCCAGACAGTGTTCATGCCTGTACTCTGCAAGTTACAGTCGTGTGTCCATCCAGGCCAGTCTGGGCGGGAATCTGCGGTTCATCCTGACGGCGTCGGCACCCATCTCCCCCACCGTCCTCTCCTTCCTCCGCGCCACGCTGGGCTGCCTGGTGAGAATGTTCCCTCACATCTCTCTCTTTTTCTGTCTGCCTTTCTTCCTCACCCTCCTCAATCCCTTCCATCGTCCCTCTGCTGGGATCTAGTGTGCATCTCTTTCACCAGATAAGATGCTCACTGGAGATGTACAAGTTCCCAGCTGTGTAAACACGTGGTTTCTTCTTTATTATGCAGACAGCAATTATTTGCAAGAGATATCCTTCACAGAAGGATGACAGGTTTCTTATTAACAGATAGGTGTTAGTGGTTGCGTTGGCATAGTGTAGTGGGCAAGCCTCCAGACTTTTGACTGACATGTTGCGGGTTTGAGTCCTCACTGCAGACACTGCTGTTGTACCCTTCAGTGAGGTGTTTAACTCCTTTTACTCCAGTCCACCCAGCTATGTAAGTGGAGACCAGCAATACGGAGGGTGTCTATGTGATAGACCAAATCACATGCTTAATTCTACCTAACCCTAACCTGATGAGCCTCTCAGTTCTTGTATGGATGTTGTCTTTGCCTTGATTTGAATTGAGGAGCATGAAACAGACACCCATCACCTTACCTGGTCTGAGCAATCTCCAGATTCCAATCCAGTTGACAGTTGGTGGAATCAGTGGGATATGCATTCACATCGAATACACACCATTGTCCTCATCACAGCTTCAGCTGAAACCAGTCCTGCTGGGAGAAAGGAAATGGTCTGGGCTACAACTATTGCAGGCACCTGTTGAACTGCACACCACAGCCTGTTCCAGCTGTTCTCACAGCTGTCGGGGGGTGGACATGTTAGCCAGTTTAGATGGGAAAAAAGAAACGCAACTCCTCCTCCTCCACACTCTGGCCCTCCCGTCTGCGTGGAACAGGCTGAAGAGGGACTCATCCCTGAAGAGGACCTGATGCCACTGCTGATGAGTCCATCGCAGCCTCTGTCTGGCCCAAGCCAATCGGATGTGACGTCTAGGAGGTGAGAGCAGAGGGGCTCTGACAAGTCACCTTGCTCTAAGGCCAGCAGCATTGAGCCTCACTGTCCTGTCACTGATGCAGGCGTTGTGTCTGCAGGCAGTTTCAGCAGTAGTACGGGTGGCAGATCTGAAACAATAACTCAGATGGACCAGTCTGATGTGTCGGTCCTGCTCTGGTGTGGTCACTCGAGGGCAACCAGATCGTGGGTGGTCATACTGAAACCTTCTCTGCAGTCAGGAAAAAGTGGAGCGGCTTACTCCATAGTGCCTGCAGCATGCCAATGGCCCACTCCCTTGCTTCTGGTGACATTCAAGGCATTATGGAATGCACAGAAAACTGACTGAACTGCTTGGCCTTTTTCTTGCAGTGACCTAAGCTTTGAATTAAGGCCTTTTTAAAGGTGACCTGATCAGGCATTGTTCCACCTGGACCGTGTTTGGGTAAAAGTGCACCTAACGAGCTTTTGTGTGATTGGAAAGTTGCAATGCCTCACCCCACAAGCTGTATTGCTTTTCAGAGGGCTTAAAACAAATTGACAACTTTTTGTGAAAGTACATAAGCTATAGCTATAGTATTCTCATTCCAAAAAATGTTGCGTTTCTTTTTTCCATCAGTATATTTTGACCACTGGGTGTAGCTTCACAGCGCTGTCAGGGGGGGAGTGTCAAAGTCCCAGTCAGTTTGTGTTCCTGGTTAGAGTCAATAGATGAGGTGCTGTTTGGAGATGTCTCGGTACTCCGAGGCGCCCTAGATCCTCCTGGGAATTTTTTTCAGGTGGACAAAATGAGAAAATCCCTCCTTTCTCCTCCTCCGACAAAATGTGCTGCCCTCTCCTGCTTTGTCCCCGTCTTCCACCCTACAGTTTTTGCTTGTCTAAATCCATCTCTGAGTAGGGTGAGAGCAGGGGGTGTGTAAACTCTTGTCTTGTGCAGATCTTCGAGGGTTATGGGCAGACAGAGTGCACAGCTGGCTGCACATTCTCCATGCCAGGAGACTGGACCGCAGGTGAGAGCAGGGCAGGGAGCTGTGTTATTGAAGCTTTCTGTGTCTCTTTGTGTGACAGGACCCATAGTGAAAAATGTCACTCCTCTGGGTACTCAGCACTGTTTAGCCTCAGGCGTCAGGGAATTGTCATTTCAAGTAGAAGTTAATTTTGAAATAAAAATCTCCTGTCCCTTATTTCCTGGAATGACGGTGAAGTCAAAGTGATCTTGAAAGTGCTCCTGAGCCTTTGATTCGATCAGAATGAAGAATAAAAAATAACTGCATCAAAACATGCAGAATTACTTTGGGTCGTGTTTCATGCTATCTCAGAGTCACCTGTAAAAAAGGTACAAAGAGAAAATCCATTTCTAAAACTGCACTTGAAGTCTTGATGACACATGAGAATGTTCTAAAATATATGATTCCCTCTGGTTAATAAACTTTTCAACACTCCAACCACAGGCTCTACTCTCCTTCTCGATGTACCAGATAGTGTCTTGCCTAAAACTAAGAACCTAGAACAGGATCATCCTTATATTTGCTGCAGTTATTATGGCAGAACTTCATTCAATTATTTTCAATCTACACTTTTCTGTCTGTTCTGTACCATACAGTATCTTCCTTATATGCCTTTGTATCAATTTATGTCCATTTGTGCTATCTGTCTGTCTCAGGTGTTCATCTGCTTGTCTGTGTCTGTCTCTCTGTCTCTCTGCGCTTCTGTCTCTGTCGATCTGTTTTTATGCCTGTGCGTGCCTGTCTCTGTCTCTCTGTCCGTCTGCATGCCTGTCTCTGTCTGTCTGCGCGCCTCTGCGTGTCTGTCTCAGTCTGTCTGCGTGTCTGTCTCTGTCTCAGCTCTGTCTGTATTCCAGGTCACGTTGGAGCCCCACTACCGTGTGCTATGGTGAAGGTCACTGACATCCCTGAGATGAGCTACTACTCCCACAATGGAGAAGGAGAGGTGAGAGATAGAGAGAAGGAAGACACAGGAAAAGGATGTGGGCAAAAGGGAAAAGTTAATAAGCAAAAGGGAACTGTACTCTGAGCTTATCTCAATCGAAGTGATAAGATCACAACCTTACTCAGACAAGCTCCTCGTGTTTAAAGAGGGATCAGTTGTTCTGAGAGAAAATGACAGTACTGGAGCTACTTTAGTAGGTCTTACTGTCCAATAGTTTATTGACTTGTTTGCTGGAGGCCCAGATCCAGCGCCCCCTACAGAAAGAGGACCACTTGGGATTGAGGGCAAGAGTGCCAGAGTGCCAGGGACAATTCAGGCAGGGAAGCTGTGAATGGGCTCTCGTGCAGGTGGAACAGTAAGAAAGCGCCCTCTGTCTAGATCTGTATCAAGGGCCACAGTGTGTTCAGAGGCTATCTCCGTGACCACGAACGCACAGCAGAGGCGCTGGACCCCGAGGGCTGGCTGCACACCGGGGACGTCGGCAAGTGGCTCCCGGTAAGAAATACTGGCTGACCCACTGCTTGACCCACTGAAGGACAGGCTGACCCACTGACAGACCCACCAGGCTGAATGACTGAAGGACAGACTGACCCACTGACAGACCCAACAGGCTGAATGACTGATGGACAGACTGACCCACCAGGCTGAATGACTGGTGGACAGACTGACCCACTGACTGACCCACCAGGCTGAATGAATGATGGACAGACTGACCCACCAGGCTGAATGACTGGTGGACAGGCTGACCCACTGACTGACCCACCAGGCTGAATGACTGATGGACAGACTGACCCACCAG